GTTGACCCTTGGGTGTTCTGAAGCAGACCAGCCATAATTTCGTCTTGAATGATCTGGTCAATTCACTTGAGTCCATGGTAACCAAAATCGAGGTCAAGGTTATAAGAGATATGCCCAAAGTTCCTATGCCACCAGTATAGGGATAGAAAGATGAGCCCAAACCTAAACATCGGCTATGAAACCGCATCTTGGCGTCGATACTGGATGTGGATTCTATTGACCAAGAAATTGTGTCAATATAGCCACTTGTTTACGGAGCTCTTCAAAAGCCACTACGGTAACTACTTCTGGTTGGGGTGCTAGTATTTCAAAAGATTCCTCATGTTGCACCGGATGATCCCAAGTAGGGGTTGATTAGAAGTGAATGAGCTTATTGGAAGTTGTCCTGAATGTGTGTTAACTATGGCTTTTGGCATCATTTTCTACAAACGGCGCAAATGATGTTACCAAAAATTCACACCGAGAATATCCCGAGCTTGATGATGGAAGATGAACATCAACAGAATCTACCTTACTTGAAATAAAGGTGTCAAGGGGTGTCCTTGTCGTCCCTTCGATACTTAAGCTAAGAGAAAATTTATGCGTGAGGCTATAAACTGAAAATTATATAAAAACATACTTGAATAATGAACAAAGGCCTTGTAATTATAGAGGTAGACAACGCAATCCTAGTAGAATTAGGTCACTTGAATGCCTTATCTTATTTAAGAGTCCTGCATGAGGTAAACATCAGAGCTCTACTATAATTGTAAGACCAATCTAGTTGGGTAACAATAGAGTTGCAGAGGTAGAGTCCTTTTAGGTTTGGGGACCTAATAGAATGAGAGGGAAAACGGTAAAGAAGAGTACGAGATGTCCAAGGACCTCAGGCCAGAGGTCGAGCTTGACCTCATGACCTCAAGGACATTCTGGCCCAAGGAGAGAGCCCGAGACCATTATGACCTCAAGCCCAAGGTCGAGCCTGACTACATGAACTCGATGATATTTTGGCCCAATAAGAGCACTCAAGGTTGTAATGACCTCGAGCACGAGGTCACGGGTGGTTGGGTTTTACAAAAAATCGTAAATATCAGTAATTATTTGATGTTATTTTCTATTTCAATTATCTAAATTATGGTAGTTATTTAACGTTATCTTTATTAAATTTGTATAAATAGGATATTTATATAAAGGAAATTAGGGTAATGCATTGAATCACAATTGAATTATATTAATAAACTATTTTCTTATCCTTAATTCACTCTCTTGATCCCCTTTTCTCCTTCAATGTATTGTTCATTATCAATTGATAAATTCCCGCATCATGATGTCCAAGAATTGTATTGTCGGTGATAACTTGGTCCATCATCATAAACATAGTCAATTACGTGTCGAGGTCATGTCCCTTCAATTATCCAAGCCTTTTGTTCGGGTATAAATAACCAAATTCATACATATCTTGAGCTTCTTTGCTCTTTCTAGTCAGGAGACGAAGCGATTGAGAGACTATAACGATTATGTTGTTTTTAAGACTAGGCCTCATTTTTAAATGCATTGCTGCACTTCTAATAGTGGGTGGAAAATTATATTCTTCTATGTTCACCTTCGTGACGTTGAGTTTACCTTTCCACTGGATTTAGATTACTTGAAACTCGCCATTTTCAATCAACGCTTTCTCATTTGAAGCTCCAGTGGAGTTAATGCTCCCACATGGAAAAATGGATGCTAAATCTCAACATTTTAGTAATTAGTTGAGATGATGATGATATATGGTTTAACACTATTGTTGGTTAAATGCATCCAATTAATTTCTAAACCATTATTATATATTAAAACCAAAGTGCTTTTCACTTCAGCCTAGAGAATTGCTAATTTTTATGTGGCAAAACTTATAGCATTATGTTAACATCAAAAATTTTCACGTTATATTTGACTTATGATCAGAGACTAATATTTATATATAATAATTTTAATAATGCAATATATGTACAATCGCTTTACCATAGTGCACTAAGATAGACATAAATAATGTTGAGAATATATATTTTATAGTGTGGTTTGCTAATTGTTAATTTGGTTGGACTGTTTACTTAG